TCCTGCCTGTTCTGTCTGTTCCTGCCTGTTCTGTCTGTTCCCGTCTGTTCTGGATCCCTGACCTCTGGGACTGCAGCTCTTGGGGACATTCTAGGACTGGACTGTTAAACCAGAATGTCTGAGATTGGGCCCACTCTGAAATAGAAATGATGCTGATAGAACAGCAACAGGACTCAGTGATCATGAGGAGGTGATGCTCTCATTAATATTTTTGGAGAAGGACCCAAAATGCAGACGGTTACAATCATAGCATATTGAACAACTTTGCAACTTTGGCATTCCATTATGTAAAAAACTTCAAGTGGTAAGGAGTACTTTTTCAGGATATAGTATAAATCTGACCTTTGTATCATTACAGCTTACTTTGTAAAACATGTCCATGAAGAAAAGAAATGAACTTTAACCTGCCACTAAAGAATACGACCTGTTTCCAAGTTTTTATGACATGTTAAAAGGCAGAGTTTACGGTAAATAGTATTTTTCAGTCTGTTGGAGAAATCTAGGTATTTTATTTAATTCAATTCATTTATGCTTGTCTTGCCTGAACTGTGCTTATAGATGGTTTATTTCTAAATCTGTGCTGATACAGCAGGTGTGACTGCTGTCCCTAAGTATAAATCACTCATTACCTCAGCTGCGGGTAATATTTTTTTCTCAGGTTGTAACAGTAAAATTGGCCATGTCTGTTTTTTTCCTCCCAGTAGTAAGTCAATCTGCTGCCTGTTTTGCCACCTCCAACAAGACAAACAGATCAAGGATTTCTAAACATAGGTAAAACTCTTTATCTATTATTTAAAGGGAAATTAAAGGATCTTGTTTTGACTTCTAGTCACAGTTTTTCATCTTTTGAAGACTAATATATTAATTAAAGCACAAGAAAAAACTGGATTATTAATTTTCTTCTTTTTTCTGCAACCCTGCAGGTATTGATACTTCAGAGCTCTGACACTATGCCTGAGGTAGAGTCAGTTGAGGTTGAAAAACCTGAAGAAAAGCAATATAAGGAAAGATGTTCTCAGCTTTTGGATGAAGTTAATTCAATTAGGGGAGGATTTGATATCATGATTCTTCTCAAGAGGAATGTTTTTATCATTCTCACAATGGCTGCTGTTGGCGTAGGTAAGTCTCCCGATTTTCTGGGGTTCCATGAATTCTGATTTTATTTATTTTTTTGTTTAATCCCACTGATTTATGTCTGTGTTGTTAGGAATTGGACTTGGTTTTGCTTTGCGACACATTAACATGTCTGAGCGAGACATAAAATATTTAACTTTTCCTGGAGAGCTGCTGCTGAGAGTCTTGCAGATGATGGTGCTCCCACTTATCGTTTCAAGTGTCATTGCAGGTCAGACTGACTTTATGTCATTAAAGGACATATTTTAATATGTTATGGAAACAAGGGCTAAGTAGACTCAGTCAAAAGCTTGGGAAGTGTGAAAATGCTCACAAGGTTTAATTCTGAGAATCTAACGGCAAGTTTAGCATAGTGAGTGACATTTTTTGTGAAGTGACATAAAGCATTACAATCGTTTTGATTTTCAACATTATTTTCACACTATTAATTTTTTTTTCATGTCAACAATGCAACCTGCAAAGGTTGCATGTGATACATGCGCACAGATATTATATAGTTGTAGGACAAAGGGGACAAAGGGAAAAGGACAAAGGTATGAAGGAAAAAAATGCGTTCTTCCTTTGCTTTGGCACAACAGAACAAAATGTAAAGATCTGGCTCTCCTAAGGTATTGTTTAGAAAAAGATTAAGAGTCTTGTTATAACATTGCCTTAAGCCATGTTGAGACAGCTAAGCTGCAAATATGTTTTACTCCAGCAGAAACAATCATGTTTGTCAGAGTTAATGAGGTGTCAAATAGAGCTAAATGCAGGACGATCCCGTAGTAAAAACATGTTAGAGGCTTAACAAAAATTTTGTCTGGCGTGAAGGATCACTGTCTGGCAGAACAATGGCCATAAACATACATACATACTTACAATAGTATTTTAGATTATAATCACGTGTTTTAAACGCCTAATAAAAACTAAAACAAGCTAAAGGACTATATGTCGAGAAATTTGAAAATTGAAAAATTTAGAAAAAGTTAATCTGTAAAAATCTAGTTTCCAGATGTGCCAAGCTTGTGGCGTTTTCACAGAAGGGAGCTGTTTTCAGGTTGGTTACGTTATGTGATGTTGGTCACATGACATTCAGGTAAAATACATTTTTGGTCATAATGTCACAAAATGCAGACATGCTTCAGGGTTTAAATACTTTAGTAGGGTAGTAGGGCAGGGGATTATACATATTCTGTTATTATACAGATTATTATAAATCAAATATTCCTTATTAATAAAAACACAAGGTTTAGACATGAAAAGAGAATCATACAAAAACTCAGGATCTGGATGACATGTCATAATTTACTAACCCGATTGAGATGCTATGATTAAATTCAGGTCACTTAAATTCTTAATAGTAGACCCAAGTTTTTTTTTGTTTTTTTTTAAGCTTTTTGTTTTCTTATTAATAAATGGGCTCACTTGAAAAAGTTTGTGTAACTTTGTCTGAAATTTAAATGTGATGACTTAGAACATCCAAGTAGAAGAAGGAAGAAAGGAATATAAAACATTCTTGCCCATAGTTCATGACCACTGTTTTACATTTTAGGCTTGTCAAATGTTGATGTAAAAGACTGTGGGAAAATTGGGCTTCGCACCCTCATCTATTACTTGGCAACAACCGTTGTTGCTGCCTTCACTGGCATTTCCCTGGCTGTTCTCATCCAACCGGGCAAATCATCTAAGCATGATTCTGAGTCCTCTGCTTCTAAAGCAGAGGCTGTACAGAGCGTGGATGCTTTCCTGGATCTGATCAGGTCTGCATAAGGCACTTCATAACCATTTATGTCAATTTATATTTTAGAAAAAAAATAATTCCCTGCATTTTCTATTTTACAGAAACCTGTTCCCGTCAAATCTGGTGGAAGCTTGTTTCAGAAAAGTAAAATCAGTTAAGCTGAGACTTTATAATTTCTTTCACACATGAGTTATTGCTAAGTGCTAATATTTTGCTTCTGAACTCTTTACTTAGTATTTAACAGTTTATCCAAGTAGTAATTCTACAGGAAATCCAGTAGGAGCAATGGATATGTCTACAAACTGTGAGTCCCTATGTTACAAATGTCACAGTCTTGGTTTTCCATTTGTTGTCCTCTGCTGCCCTCTT